GGTTTTTGCACTGCGCCAATAATTTGCCCATCGGAGCTCGATTCCTGGCTATGATTGAGCATCAGTGGGGCCAGGACATTGCACAGTAAATGTTCATCGCAGAATTCAAATTGTGCGCGTTCGGATTGAATTTGTCATCCTTCCGCCAGTCCCAGATTCTGAGAAGCTTTATATCCAATACCCGTGGTCAGTATCGATCGCGCGCTTTCAGATCCGCTTCTGCGGCCGTCTGGAACGCTCTTACGATGTTAGGAAGCCGCTGGAGCAATGCAATTTTGAATCTAGATTGAAAACTAATTTCTTCAGAACTGCTTTTTGTGTTTAGTTTGTTGTCCTTCACTCGAACCCTCCGATTAGCACGGTTGGCAGCCTACGGTACTAAAGGAGTTCAACATACATTCATACACGCACATGATGAGCAATAGTTTGTTTTTATTTATATATTTTTTGGAAAAGCAAATGATCACGTTGATCAATTATCTGCTCGCCGTTACACTTGCCAGCGGCGTACTCGCAGGCATGAGGATAAGAACCGGCTGGGTCATCTTTTCAGGCAAAAAAGTTATTAGGAAATTGCTTTTTATCTGCTAACATGCACAGGTGCCAATTACCATTGGAGAGGCACAAATTGATGAGTAACGTTTTAGCCAAAATGTCATTACCGGCGCTGGTCCAGTGGAAGCTAATTTTGGGATAATTTTTTGTAAAGACTAAATCAATTAAAACCTGCAGTTAGGACATAATCTTCCGAACGGTTGAATAAACACCCAGCAGGGATGCGCACGTCTCTGTGTTTTTAAATCGTCATCTTCATCAGTCACGGTCGATCCACTTTCTGAGTGAAGGTCTCACTAAGCCCCTGCCACCTCTCACAATCCTGCAATCCAACTAGTCCATCCGACACCTGCGCACATGATCTGATTTCATTGCTCCGTCTCCCTGGTGGGCACGTATTCTGTTCCCTTGGCTGTCGCTCGCGTCACTAATTCCTGACCATCAGCCCTCATCCCTTCTAGCCACCACGTGGCCCTGCCCAAAGCACGCTCACTTTTCCTTTTCAGTTCGAATTATGCCTCCAACTTGTTACTGTTCTCTAACGCATGCCCTTCTCTTTCTGTCTCTATCGGTGTATTTCCGAGGATGCTCCTCTCCATGTTTAGAACACATTCCTGTGGAAGAGCTGGTAGGAACGTTGGGTTGCTCGGTCAATGGCCAGGGTCAACGGCGGCGTGGTGTATGCCGTAAATATGGCCGACTGTGAGGGCGGGCACAAGCCGGCGTGAGTAGGTTAAACGTTGAGTTTTATAAGGGCACCACGGGGTGATCAGCCCCTCCCCACCCAGCCTCACCTTCCCCACCCAGCCCCTCCCCACCCTCACCTCCCCACCCAGCCCCTTCCTTCCCACCCAGCCCCTCCCTGCACGACGGACGGGCACAATAATCCCCTGTGGGCTGGTGTAACCAGGAGGTTCCTACCAGTATCAACATTCTGATTCTGATGCTCCTCTGTGCACTCTTGAGCATTTTGCCCATGTTCTTTGGTAGCGCTGACAGTGTCACAGTGACAATTTTATCCGTTGCTTTTTGTTCAGTGCTTCAAATTGGCTCGAACTTGCTTTTGTCTGTTGAAAGATTTTCGATTCCATTGCACATTCAGTGGCTGTCCCAAGTGCACATTATCTTCTGTGGGTGTTTTGTTGTTGACATGTGGTAATTCTTGTACATGTACATATAAAGCTACATCTTTTAGAGGTGGCCAAGTGATATCACAACTCAGAATTCATGGGTTTTAATGTGAGTGGGATATCGAACCCTGGTGGCTCGCGATTGAGTCAGCGTCTCGCAATCGGGAAAAAGCACGCGTTCAAATTCTGCTATGAGATCTCTTTTACCAGTAGCAAAATATAGTAGTAGGTTTTTACCCTTTTAAACTGGTACAAAACGGACACCTTTATTTATTAATAATTTATTAATAAAGGTGTCAGTTTTGTACCAGTTTAAAAGGGTAAAAACCTACTACTATGTTCAAATTCTGGTTGGGTGTTTTTCCTCGGCCCCATTGTCCGATCCTCTGTAGTTGATGAACAAGTGCCACTTTTGTGCCGGAGTCATTATTGTTTGCCCTATTGATCGACTAATCCCCCATCATAGGAATGTCGAATTTCCTCCACTGGCTCAGAGCCTCAATGCTCAGCAGAAAATGACTTTGACATTTTTTTTACTTTAACACAGGGATTAAAGAAAATCGACAGCTTCTCCATGCGCGAGCAAATTCTCATCTCCTAAGATGGCTTTAATCCATCCGGTGGTGGAAATTCTCTATTTCCGCGTAGCTGGTTGCAGTTGTGCTGTGTAGCTGCGCCGAACTCATCCGAGCACATTTATATATTATTATTATCACCACTCGAGAAGTTAGTCTCTTCGCAAAGGCTGAAGCTTACGTTTGAGGATATAGTCCCCAAGGAACAAGCCGGGTACAGGAACGGACGAAATGGCCGCGAGCAAACGACATTGAAGACAGGCTTTGAACGTCGGCCCAAAACAGCGGCAGCGTTCGATGGCCTCTCTTCGGCAGATGATACCGCATAGCGGAAGAGTCTGCCGCTACAGCTTGCGACGGACCGTGCCTTTGCCGCCCAACAATCCGACTTGTCGCCGACGTGCCGAGCCAGCGATAGTTCACCGCATCCATTTCGGTGAAGCGGCCAGCGGCACACGGAGATTGAATAGCCGACTCCCGGTAAGAGCCGACTCCCGCAGGGATCTGCTCTTGCACCGGCGCTGTTCAACCTCTACGCCGGCGGGCATTCCGGCAACATCCTTCCGCGGGTTCACGTACGTGGACGGCGCCGCGCGGCTGGCAAGCCAAGCCCCTGGACGAGAGGACACTGGGAAAGTCCTCGAGAAAGATGTCCAAAAATCGGAGAGGCGTACTTTAAGAATTGGCACCGCCATAAGCCAGACAAGACAACCTCGTTGAGGGGCTGACTGTGGAAGGCGCCGGGCCTTGTCTCTCCCACGTGGAGCCCCCGCTAGATCACCCTCGAAAGGCAACATTGTTGAGAAGCACGTACACCTTGCAGCCGCGGGATTGACAATTAACTGGCAGTTATTGTTATTGTAATTTTTTTATTAAGTTCTTGAATTAAACTTGGATCGCTCAAATGCGACTTGGTAAAAAAATCTCATATTCTTGGCAATAAATGTTGCACGACGTTGCTTTCTATATTGACATTTGTCACGTTAGTTATGCATGAAAAAATTATTCTGATGAATTATGCATGTGCGAGTCTGTGGGTCTCTATGCATGCATAACTCATGAGACAACAGACAAGCGTTCCGATGGTGAACAATGCAGAGGTCGCAAACGGGTTTTGATTCCTTACCCGTACCCGGCCGCACCAGGGTTGCAAACGGGTACCCGTACCCTACCCGATACCCGGCTACCCGTACCCGGCCGGGTATCGGGTAGGGTACGTGTACCCGATTGCGACCTCTGGGATGAAGCCATGTTGCAAGCGTGGGTGGGTTGATTCTATGAACTTGAATTGTGAGAAGAGACAATACGTTGGGAAATGAGTGACAAATGGTTACTCACCAGTGACTCACGGCCTACCCGGCCGCACCAGGGTCGCAAACGGGTACCCTTACCCAGCCAGGTACAGGTAGCCGGGTATCGGGTAGGGTACGGGTAACGGGTACCCGATTGCGACCTCTGGAACAATGTCAGCACCAGAGGAGTACTTCAGCACTGCTAAGATTTTGGTTTGAATTCTTAGCTCTCATCCAAAGCAAATCACATTTCCTGGGATTAGCGAGTCGGATGTTATAAATAATCTCACAAACTCACGGCCAATCCGCCCACCACCTTTACAAGTGGGAATTCTTGGAGAGCCTGGAGTGCATGGGTCTCTCTGTATTGTATGACTATGAACTCTGTGAGTCTGGGACTCTATGCGAGTCTGTGAGTCTCTGTGTGAGTCTGTGGGTCTCTATATAAGTCTGTGCGTCTCTCTGCGAGACCTCACTAATTGTGAACCACTGCAAACTATGAAAATTAACTGGATGCAATTAATCAATCCACCACCAAATTAATTGAAGCAATGTCCTGCTCTAAACTAATCAGGACATCGACTTATGAGTTGCTATTAATCCAGCCGTACGTGAATAAAGATGCATGTCACAAATGATGACACAAGGAGACTACATGCCTCCGTTGAGGGGGAATGATTGCCCTGCGAAAAAGTGGCTAATAGTCGGTTTCCAGGAACCAAAGCTCTAGGATGTCATCGTGACCATGCATTAATGTTGTCACCATAGCTTTGTGGGAAAGGATCCATTAGTGTGAGTAATGCAGATTTGTATGCATGCACAATGTGTAATCTTGCACCCTTTTATGTGTGTGCCGGCCAAAACCACCGTGTTTCAGAGTCCACTCTGTCCGTCCGTAAATGCACGGAATGCAGGTGTCTTTTAATGAAAGGTGGTAAACACCAAAGTTGTACCCACGATTTTATCTCTACATCACAGCGTTTGATTCTGTATAGGAATCCAATTTAGTTTTGTATAATCTTGTTGGTCGTGTGGTCAATGTGGGTCTTCAACGACATTTTCGAGTCCAGGATAACGCCGAGATATTTAAAGTTGACAAACTGCTGATTCCAGTGCGCTGACCACGATGCCACCGCTCCAAAGACAAAGTTCACCCTTATGGGGCAAGTGCTGTTAGCGAGTACCTATGAAGGCCGGCACGGAACATGAGGGAGTGGGTGGCCAGCACAACACTCCCGACCGCCTTTACCTCACCAGTGGCAACATTTACAACACACCACACCAGGTACTCACTTGAGGCTGAGTCGACGTAGGGGAGGCCCAGCACCAGTTTAGATAATCGCCACTGGCGTTGGCCGTGAGCGGTAATCGAACTCGAGTCACCAGGTTCGTAGCGCAGTGAGCTAACCGCTACCCACCCACTTTCCCACGCACACACACACACACAGGTCCAAGCACAGCGCCACCAACTACATTCCGGAGCACTTCCTCTATAGCTTCCTGGACCTGGTGGTGTGGGGCCACGAGCACGAGTGCCTCATCAAGCCCGTGCGCAACGAGCAGCGCTTGTTCTACGTCACGCAACCCGGCAGCAGCGTCGCGACCTCCCTCTCTCCCGGCGAAGCAGTTGCCAAGTGAGCGGTTTTCGGCGGACGCGTGCACAGCAGCGACAAATATCCCCTGTGCAGCCTTAGACTGTTGGGGGTGAGTGCCGTTAGAAAGCGGCACCTGCGAAGGCCACCCACGGCGCACGAGGGGGTGTGTGGCCAGCACCACGCCTGGCTGGACTTGTCTCAGAGGTCGCAAACGGGTTTTGATTCCTTACCCGTACCCGGCCGCACCAGGGTCGCAAACGGGTTTTGATTCCTTACCCTTACCCGTACCCGGCCGCACCAGGGTCGCAAACGGGTACCCGTACCCGATACCCGGCCAGATACGGGTAGCCGGGTATCGGGTAGGGTACGGGTATCGGGTACCCGATTGCGACCTCTGGGATGAAGCCATGTTGCAGGCGCGGGTGGGTTGATTCTAGGAACTTGAATTGTGAGAAGAGACAAGACGTTGGGAAATGAGTGACAAACAGTTACTCACCAGTGACTCACGGCCTTCCCGTACCCGTACCCGGCCACACCAGGGTCGCAAACGGGTACCCGTACCCGGCCGGGTACGGGTAGCCGGGTATCGGGTAGGGTACGGGTAGCCGGGTATCGGGTAGAGTACGGGTATCGGGTACCCAGTTGCGACCTCTGCCTTGTCTCCTCCATGGCAATGTTTATGCATGACACCAGGTACTCAATTGAGTCGACCTAGGTGAGGGTCAAAACCGGGTTTGGGTTGTCGTTGGCGTTGGTCGTGAGTGGGAATCGATCCCGGGTCGCCGGGTTTGTCACAGACACGCGCACACGAACAGATGCGCACAAACGCACACACGTCCCCATAGGGAGAGAGAACACCATTAGCCTTTTAATATGGCTAAAGGCAAAAGTGCACCCCTGCCATTGCTTGTTCATGCATCTGCCGGCCAAAGGGCCTCCACCAGATGGCATTTGGCCCACTCTTCCACACTGGCCAGACGTCTCGGAAGAGGTGGGCTTACCCACACTTTAACCCACCACACGTGACCTTCCCATCAACAAACTGGTGACCTCTGGATGGCAAGTCCAGTGTACTGGCCGTTACACCCCTGTGGCAGCATTGCAAAACTGGTTCATAGTAATCAAAGCTGCATGATGTAGGGGGGAGCAGGGAGAGCTGTCGACAAAGGACTGCTGGTGTACACACGTGTGCAAAGCATGAACCAAATGACCCTTTAAGCCACAACTTTAACATGTTGCGGCTTCAAAGAGTCGTTGGTCTATGATAATCATAAGTAATACTTGTGATGCCAAGTGTATGTCTTTATGAACGTATTGGCGGTACACCGGTGCGCAGTTCTAAATAATAATGAGAACGCTGACAATTATTTTATTTTCTCACCATTCGCAACCCCGCTCAGAAAATCTTGTGGAGTCGTGCATCAAAATCAGTTCTCGTGATGTCGAAGCAGCTGGAAGACGAATATCAGTTCAAATTGTGATTATAGAGACTGTTTTATGAGGACCCCGGTGTGTTATGCTGCACCGGTGTACCGCCAATACGTCCGTATGTTGAACTTCTTTCGCACCGTACGTAGCCGACCACGCTAATCGGAGGTGCGGGGGAAGGACAACAAACTATGGGTCTCTGTGTGAGTCTATGGGTCTCTGTGTGAGTCTATGGGTTTCTGTGTGAGTGTATGGGTTTCTGTGTGAGTGTATGGGTCTCTGTGTGAGTCTGTGGGTCTCTGTGTGAGTCTGTGGGTCTCTGTGTGAGTCTATGGGTCTCTGTGCGAGTCTATGGGTCTCTGTGCGAGTCTATGGGTCTCTGTGTGAGTCTATGGGTTTCTGTGTGAGTGTATGGGTTTCTGTGTGAGTGTATGGGTCTCTGTGTGAGTCTGTGGGTCTCTGTGTGAGTCTGTGGGTCTCTGTGTGAGTCTATGGGTCTCTGTGCGAGTCTATGGGTCTCTGTGCGAGTCTATGGGTCTCTGTGTGAGTCTATGGGTCTCTGTGCGAGTCCATGGGTCTCTGTGCGAGTCTATGGGTCTCTGTGTGAGTCTATGGGTCTCTGTGTGAGTCTATAGGTCTCTGTGCGAGTCTATGGGTCTCTGTGCGAGTCTATGGGTCTCTGTGCGAGTCTGTGGGTCTCTGTGTGAGTCTGTGGGTCTCTGTGTGAGTCTATGGGTCTCTGTGCGAGTCTATGGGTCTCTGTGTGAGTCTATGGGTCTCTGTGTGAGTCTATGGGTCTCTGTGTGAGTCTATGGGTCTTTGTGCGAGTCTATGGGTCTCTGTGCGAGTCTATGGGTCTCTGTGCGAGTCTATGGGTCTCTGCGCGAGTCTATGGGTCTCTGTGTGAGTCTATGGGTCTCTGTGTGAGTCTATGGGTCTCTGTGTGAGTCTATGGGTCTCTGTGTGAGGCTATGGGTCTCTGTGCGAGTCTATGGGTCTCTGTGCGAGTCTATGGGTCTCTGTGTGAGTCTATGGGTCTCTGTGTGAGTCTATGGGTCTCTGTGTGAGGCTATGGGTCTCTGTGCGAGTCTATGGGTCTCTGTGCGAGTCTATGGGTCTCTGTGTGAGTCTATGGGTCTCTGTGTGAGTCTATGGGGTGCCTGTGAGTCTATGGGTCTCTGTGTGAGTCTATGGGTCTCTGTGTGAGTCTATGGGTCTCTGTGCGAGTCTATGGGTCTCTGTGTGAGGCTATGGGTCTCTGTGCGAGTCTATGGGTCTCTGTGCGAGTCTATGGGTCTCTGTGCGAGTCTATGGGTCTCTGTGTGAGTCTATGGGGTGCCTGTGAGTCTATGTATGTTGAACTTCTTTTGCACCGCACGTAGCCGACCGCGCTAATCGGAGGTGCGAATGATGCTGTTGCGTCTTTTAAAGGCACGTGGGCATCCTTCACGTGCACGGGAAGCGCATGAACCTTCAAAAGATCCCGCTGCAGACCGTTCGGCAGTTTTACATTCAGGATGTGGTTCTGCAGGACACAACCATCAACCCTTCTCACCCCAAGGTCACTCAGATGATTGAAAACTACTGTTCTGAGAAGGTAAATCTGGTTTCCCATGCCAACCGTAGCCTCCGTTGTGTGCTAATTGCTGATGGGAGTCTGTCTGCTTACCTTACGTAACCTTGCCCCGGGACATTTTCTTCTTAACATGGGACCTTTTTGCCAGTATCAAAGTATGAAAAATGAGAATAGATTTTATCCTAAAGTAGTAATATGTTTTTACCCTTTCAACTGGTACAAAAACTGACACCTTTATACAAGGGGTCATGTTTGCAATAACCACAACACAAGCAGTAAAAAATTAACCCGTAAAAACAAAGTTTTTCACTATAAATCCTTTATATGCGTGGCATCGGTTTTATTTTATTATTCATTTCTGTTTTTCTTGAGTAAGAGTTTTATTTTTATCACATTGGTATTTTAAATTAAATATGACATTTTTTTTTTCCTAAAAAGTGGAAAATTTAGGAATTTTTTTTTTCACGAAAATAAATTGTCACGCACAACGAGTCTGTGTGCAAAATGTCAGCTCGATTGGATCACGGGAAGTGGGTTAAAAAATGACCGAAAGATTTGCACGGTCGTAAGCGCGCAAGCAAGCAAGCAAGTGAACTTAATATAAAGGATTTAAAAATGCAAACAAAAAGAAACAACTCTGATAATGATAATGATATGCACTGTCCTTGAAGTTGATTGGTCCACGCCCGAGACGGCTTTTCTTAGAGCCTAAAAGCTGTCTCGGGTGTGGACCAATCAACTTCAAGGACAGTGCATATCATTATCAGAGTTGTTTATTTTTGTTTGCATTTTGACTGCTTGTGTTGTGGTTATTGCAAACATGATCCCTTGTATAAAGGTGTCAGTTTTTGTACCAGTTGAAAGGGTAAACACCTATTACTATATTTTGCCACTAGTAAAGGAGGTCTCATAGGTTTGATCCTTTTTGCCAATGAAACGGACAATGCATGTGTAACGGGTTCCGGAGACACTTGTAGATGTAACTTCTTTATTACAATACAACACTCCAACAGTCCTGATACTCTGTTACAGCCTAGGTACACAGCCTAGCTACACAGCCTAGATACTTTAGATACTCTACTCTGGCTACGCTCGCCCTCACAAGGTCGTAGAGTCGGGAGTTCCAGAGTCCCAGCGCTGGCTCTCACAGCATCCCAGGGTCTTCAGATGGCTGGTCGTGGGTCTTGGGTCTTGAGTTACAACTGGGCCCCGATTGTCCAGGGAGCTCTCCTTTTATGCCTGATCCAACGAGGGGTGGGGCCGTGTGCGCCACCAGACATCCCACAGAGCACACACAGCCCCCTCCCCGTTGGCGGCGCCAAAAAGGCTTAAGCGCCTGGGAACCCAACGCCTGGCGCCCAAAGGCTTAAAAGCGTCTGGACCCCCTGGGAACCCAGTGCCTGGCGCCCAGAGGCTTACGCGTCTGGACCCACCTGGGAACCCAGAGCCTACAGCAGCCCCTCCCTTCTTATGTCACTACACATGTATTATCTGAACCTGTTTGTGTGTATGTTCACCACACACACGTGTGGTTAATGCGGACTTGTTTCCTTGTTTGAACATCTTAACGCCTATTTTATTGCCAGAAAGGGTTAAAACCTATTCTTTTTTTTCATAATTTTCTCTCCTCTCTTCTGCATGGGTTTCTTCTCATCGCTAAAAACAACGGACATCGTAACTGCAAAAAAATAATTTGTGTCTTTGTAGAAAATATAAATAACAAAGTGTATCATTTTTTTCAAAGAGTTGTTTTCGGAGGGCTAATGCATTGGGCGCCACAGCCAAATCTACTTGCCTCATGCTGTGACCTTTATCCAGACAGCAGCGGGACTTTAATACATTTATTTGCAATACACATACCTGTCAACTCCATATGATTTATCCGTATTCTTGTACAGGGAAATTGAGTACAACATTATTTTTTGTGTTTCTCCCTTGTGATGGTACTTTGTAGGATGAATGTTGAGAATTATAAGGTCATTGGGTGCCCAATAAGGTCTCAATTTGTCTGTAATAAGGTAGGCACTGATAAGCGGTTGACAGGTATGAATACGTCACACTCCGTGTTGATGAGATTTAATTGGCTAGAGGATTTGACATTTGTTACTTTGCTTCTTCATGCCTCTGGTCATCCTGGGTCAGTTAGCTGTGCCCGTCGTTAATTGATTGAGTGCCGAGTCGAACGGCCCCGCAGTTAATCGAGTTAATTGATTGAGTTGACGGGATTCTCTTCTTGGGCACGCACAATCCATGAGTGCACCTGGTTCTCCACGGGGGCTCCAAACTGTCGTAAGTGGGGAAAAAAAAAGGGGCCTTTGGAATCCTCCTTACCCATACTTCCCATTGCCAAATATCCCTTCTCATTACGCCCAACGTTGCGATCGCGTTGCACTTCAAGGTCTCTCTCCTCCACTTAGCAGAGGTCGCAAACGGGTTTTCATTTCTTACCCGTACCCGGCCGCACCAGGGTCGCAAACGGGTACCCGTACCCGGCCGTACCCGTACCCTACCCGTACCTGGCCGGGTACGGGTAGGGTACGGGTATCGGGTACCTGATTGCGACCTCTGGGATGAAGCCATGTTGCAGGCGCGGGTGGGTTGATTCTAGGAACTTGAATTGTGAGAAGAGACAAGACGTTGGGAAATGAGTGACAAACAGTTACTCACCAGTGACTCACGGTCTACCCGTACCCGTACCCGTACCCGGCCGCACCAGGGTCGCAAACGGGTACCCGTACCCGGCCGGGTACGGGTAGCCGGGTATCGGGTAGGGTACGGGTATCGGGTACCCGGTTGCGACCTCTGCTACTTAGGTCTGTGAAACGTCCCCCACAATGCCCCTCTTCCCTCCCGCCTTGCCCATTGGCATCACCCCAGCCACTGGCAAGACCCCTTTTTTTTGTTGTACACTTTTATTGAACATGCCCCGTTGTCTGTTTATATTCTTTAAAATCTTTGACGCCTAATATCCTCGGATCTACGAAGCCGAACGAGCTGAAATGTTCTACACTGACTCGTCTCGCACGACAATTCAAGATTTCATTAAACAAAAACGGTCCAGGTCCCGCCGGTCCTGTTCCTCTTAACATTTGTAACTTTACGTAATTAATGCTAATCAATTCCGCCCCCTATTTTAAATCACAAATGGTCGCGGGCAGCATAGATGTTTAGTACAACTGTATATGAACACAACATGGCTCCTGCAGCCCTATGACAACCTGTTTGTGTAGGGTGGACACCCCTTCCAGGCACTGTCCAGGCTCAGAGCTGCTTGGCTTTCGAGGTCCGACCAGATCGGCCGCATTTCAATTCGGCGTGATTTGTTCATCGGCGGCGTTGAGGGTTATGGTGTTGCTGTTCTTAACAGTTAACACCTCGCGGTGCCGAGATGTTAATTGCCTCGCCTTTTATACAGGAGGTCGTGGGTGCGATCCTAACTCTGCCGCCTGGATATTTGGCATTTGCATGTTCTCCCCTGTAAATCCGCTATTCTATTTGCATATGCATAGCTAGAGAGACGCAAAGTCATTTGATTGCTTTGTTGAACTTCAACATGACATAACCTTACTGTTTGCAAATTACCAAAAAAAAACCTAAGAATATGAATCCTTGCAGTCACGAAAGCTTCAAATCTAGAATTAAGTAAATGACTATGAGACTAAAATGTAAAAATAAAGTTACGTCTTATCATATATAACAAAAGTATTTTAACACAAATGCTACTACTATCTCCACTCTTACCAACTAAGTTGCCAATTTAAATGATTTAAACTTTTACAAAATGTGCATGTTGCCAACAAATTAACTTCCTTTCATTTTGAAATAGCCGTTGAAAATTAAATTTAAAACAATACAAAAATAGAAACAAACTACTTGTTTAATGCACACACTTTTATTTGCACTCAAACGTAGAAATTAATTATTTTGACCCCAGAATTAATCAAATCTGATGTTCTGAATAAAAGTGGGTGGCTTGCATAATACAAATAGAACATAGCGAAAGGAAACCACCCACTTTTATTCAGAACATCAAATTTGATTAATTCTGGGGCCAAAGTAATTAATCTCTACATTTGAGTGCAAATAAAATTGTGTGCATTGAAAATGTATTTATTTTACCAATTTTTTTAAAATCTTTTTTTCCTTCTGTCTCATCGTGGCTCTTCCTCTCTCCTTCCTGCAATCTCCCCGTTAAAAATTCTGTACGACGCTTCTCTCCTCCGCACCACTTGGCCCAGTGTTGCAAGGCCCAGCGGGCCACTCGCGGCCCCCTGGTGGTCTTTAGTGCGGACCCCTGAAGTGCACCCCCCCCCCCGAAAAATACACATGCGAAAAGACCCCCTTGCGAGCGGTGTGGCAGCCCTCACACTGGCGATGTCTTAATTGCGAAAGCGTCCTCCACTCGCTGAAAATTAGTGAAGGACACTGACGTGGCCAAACCACGCCAGTTTGGCTTCACTCGCTTACAAGTCACGCGCTTAAACCGAACAAATATGTTGCTCCGGTTAATCCGAAATCCACATGATCGCCTCTACAGTACAGGAGTTGCATATCTTTACAACAGTGGGCGGAGTTTGATTGGTTTTCATTGGCGTGGCTCTGTTATCCACTTACTGGGCAGGCATTTTTTCGCGGGAACGGGAAAGTGTTATCACATAGTGATCCGCGGAAAATTGATATTTTGGGATTCGCGATTTTTAATTATCCACGGCCGCCCTCCCCGTCATTAACGCGGAAAATCGAGGGTCTGCTGTATTTGCTATCATCGTCATCATTAGCCATGATCAGTTCACTGTTGGATGAAGGCCTCCCCAATTGACTGCCACCTCTCAACATCCTGTGATGTAGCAATCCATTCAGCACCTCACCACTCCCATCTCCTTGGTGGACGTAGTCTTCGACACATTCCATCCTTTGGCTGCCGCTCCGTTATTATTCTTCTCCAGAGTCCCTTCCAGCGACGCGTACTGCCCCAAGACCACTTTCCTTTCCTAAAAGTCTTAGCACATTCGTCTGTAACA